TGTCATCCTCCTGCACGTGGGTTCAAACACTCCTGACGGCCGAACATGACAGGTCCCTATGGATATGTCCTTCACCAAGTACGAGAAGGATGTGATTGCTTTTGGCTCTCTTTTGGCCAAAAAACTGGTTTTGTGCAAATGGAAGGACCCACAACCCCCAGCATATGTACATTGGTTGAGAGAGGTGATGTATTGTATTCATCTAGAAAAAAATAAGATACTGTATGTTCAAAATGAAAAAAATAACAAAAAGACTTTGATTTTAAACGAATGGAAAAAAATCTATACAATTCTTCGTGAGATATTTTGCTAACAGTTGGACAGTGTTGACTGAAATAGGTTATGCAGTTTTAAACATAGTATGTGTTGGTAATAACTCTCACCTATTACTATACCAAATTTTTACTCAGTCTGTACAGTTTGTTACTTGTTTTGTTTTTATGACGTGTGCTGCTGCCTGTTCTTGGCTAGGTCACCCTTGTGAAAGAGGTCTTGATCTCAATGGGTTTTTATCTGGTTAAATAAAGCTTTAATAAATAAATAAAAAAACAGCTGAATTATAGTTGTTTTGTTTCTTAATTTTAGTAGGCTGGGGCACCCATGTTGAAGAGGATTTGCTCTAAAAGTTAATCTGTTGGTCATCTCCCTTACGCTTTCTACTGCTGGTGATAAAAACATCCCTACATCATGATCAGCTGGAGCAATGTTCTTTCCTCTCAGCTCTGCTCTCCCTGGGTTTTCCTACAGACTGGAGGAGTTGTTCCTGTGCCTTAACGATTACAGCAGTGTGAATGCCTCCAGCGTGGCCTGCCCCTCTGTGCGTTTGCTTCACATCACTGACAACAGCCTCCAGGACTGGGCCGAAGTCCGCAAGTTTGGTTCCATGTTTCCCTGCCTGGACTCTTTGGTTATGGCCAACAACAACTTGGCATCCATTCAGGACAACAAGGACATTCTACAACGACTGTTCCCCAACCTGCGCAGCATCAACCTACACAACTCAGGTAGGGGGACAGTGTGTGAGTGTGTGTATGGGTTGGTTTCAATACGTTAATCAAAGTTACTGTCCCATAACCCTTTATCTTTCTGAAAAATATCTAGATTATGCTCCATTTCCAGGATCAAGTTGTGGAGTTTGTTTTTTTGGGGACTGCCTAGTAAGGCAGCCACCTATTATCCACCTGAAAAGGGTCTTACTCTTCCGTCAACTTTAATTTAACCTCAATGTGTACCCCACAAATCTTAAATCAAAATGACCGGCTTGGCACGTTGATGTGTGCTGTTACTTTTATTGACCTTTCCTGTTACCGTGTCAATGTAATTTGCTAATAAAGACGCCATTTTTCCCATTCAAAATACCTGTCTGAACTATTTACAGTCTCTAATTGCCATAGTGAGGTCACACGACCTAGAGTGAAAAGGTCTTTGAACAAAACACTAGCTGTGTCCCAATCCAACAGCCGCATCCTTCGAAGGCCACATTTGAAGGCCCCTTACATCACAGCGACGCGCCGAGGCCTGTCCCAATTTGAAGACTCCTTCAATGCGGCCCACAAATGTGGCCTTCTTTCCCCCCGATTTGAAGGACAGGTCCCGTGTATCCTTCGCAGCCCACCCTATCCCAAGATGCATTGCGAGCATACGTAAAATTCTGGATGTAATGGCGGACGAAGCAGCGACTGAGTACACTTTTAAATGTAAGTATGTTAAAATCTGGGATTAAAAAATTAAAAGCCTAAAGCGGTTATGATTTAAAGCGAATGATAGGCTTTTGTCATTTGCGTAGACATTTTTTTGTATTATTTTTTGTCAGAGATCTGCTCGTACAGCGGGTCCCGTAGTACTGTTGCCGCTAAGCTTTTTTTTAAAAATTTTTATAAGGAAGCAAGGAGCAGACTGAAGATTTTATTAAGCTTCAGAATGAAAACAGCCACTGTTTCACGAGTGCAAAACACTGCAGCTGTGGTGTGGAGGTACAAGAATGAATCCATTTATTCATCTTATGCTTCTGAGTACAGTTTCATTAACCCTCATACTGTAAATAACCTGTGATCTCTTGTGTTGTGCTGTGAAAACTGTAGTTTTTCTGTGTGTGTTTAAGACATTATTTTCTATGTTTCCCTTCTTCATTCATTTTATGTTGATGTTAGTAGGATACTTTTGGAGAAGATGGGCCTGCAGGAGAAGGTCATACCTCCTTAGCAGGCAAAAAAGAAATGGGACAACCTAAAAAATAA